AACAAAGAAGCAATACTCAACCTGTACTAGCTAAGAGGGTAACTCTGGGAGGTGATGGATATGTGAATTACCTTGACTGTGGTAATCATTTCACAATGCGTTCACATGTCAAATCATCATATTGTATACCTTAAATATATACAATTTTAATTTGTCAATCATACCTCAATAAAGCTGGGGGGTAGGGAATAAAATCAAGTGAATGTGTTTTAAAGTTTTAAAAAAACAGCCGGGCATTATGGCTCACACCTTGTAATCCCAGCACTTTGGAAGACCAAGGCAGGTGGATCACCTGAGGTCAGGAGTTTAGCACCAGCCTGGCCAACATGGTGAAAACCCTGTCTCTACTAAAAATTAAAATTAGCCAGACGTGGTGGCACATGCCTGTAGTTTCAGCTACTCGGGAAGCTGTAGTGGAAGAATCACTTGAATCATGGATGAGGAGGTTGCAGTGAGCTGAGATAGCGCCACTGCACTCTGACCTGGATGACAGCGTGAGACTCCATCTCAAAAAATAATAATAATAATAAAGTTTTTAAAAACCTTAACTTTGCCAGGTGCAGTGGCTCATGCCTGTAATCCCAGCACTTTGGGAGGCCGAGGCAGGCAGATCCCAAGGTCAAGAGATCGAGACCATCCTGGCCAACGTGGTGAAACCTCATCTCTACTAAAAATACAAAAATTAGCTGGGCATGATGGTGCGCATCTGTAGTCCCAGCCACTCGGGAGGCTGAGGCTGAGGCTGAGGCAGGAGAATCGCTTGAACCCAGGAGGCAGAGGTTGCAGTGAGCTGAGATCGCAGCACTGCACTCCAGCCTGGACGACACAGCGAGACTCCGTCTCCAAAAAACAACAACAAACCTCAACTTACTGCTCCCTACTATATAGGCAGCATGACCCTGATCACTACTGTGGAGTCAAAAAGAAATAGAAGCCACAATCACTGAAATGCTTTCCAGCAGCTAACAAGATGGCTGGAAGGAAGAGACTAACAGAAATGAACTGAATGAGAACAAGGAACGGTGGATCACGCCTGTAATCCCAGCACTTTGGGAGGCTGACGCAGGCAGATCATGAGGTCAGGAGTTCAAGACCAGCCTGACCAACGCAGTGAAACCCTGTCTCTACTAAAAGTACAAAAATTAGCCGGGTGTAGTGGCACACGTCTATAAACCCAGCTACTTAGGAGGCTGAAGCAGGTCAATCACTTGAACCTGGGAGGCAGAGGTTGCAGTAAGCTGAGATCACACCACTACACCCCAGCCTGGGAAACAGAGCAAGACTCTATCTCAAAAAAAGAAAAAAATGGAAACAAATGAAAAGCAGGAGACCCCCAACATGCAGGAAGGCTCTATAGAGCAATAAGCCAGTAAGCCAGTTCACATCCTGGACCAGCAGCATCACCAATCACCTGTGAACCTGTGTTTTTTTGGTGTGCTTTCTTCATATTTTTTGAGACAGTTTCGCTCTTGTCACCCAGGCTGCAGTGCAGTAGCATAATCTCAACTCAATGCAACCTCCACCTCCGGGGTTCAAGAGATTCTTCTGCTTCAGCCTGCTGAGTAGCTGAGATTACAGGTGCATGCCACCATGCACAGCTAAATTTTGTATTTTAGTAGAGATGGGTTTCAACATGTTGGCCAGGCTGGTCTCAAACTCCTGACATCAGGCAATCTGCTCTCTTCGCCTCCCAAAGTGCTGGGATTACAGGCGTGAGCCACCACACCCAGCCACCTGTGAACCTTTCAAAATGCAAATTCTTAGGCCCTACCCCAGACTTCCTGAATCAGAAACTCTGGGGGTGAGCACAGCCAGGCGTGCTTTCAGAGCCAATGCATTTGACTGAGCCTATGCAAATGTATAAAGTCCAATTAGAAAGCACACTTACCCTCGGAGCAATCATAGACAACTGGCCGAGCCCCTGCCTGAATACCCCTGTATCTGCAAATGAAAGTTTCAGTTGTGCCTCAGCAAATTTGCACATTACAAATCTTCATATTAATTGCAAATAGAACTACAAATTCATGATTGTCAAGTAGCATGGTGCTCCTCATGACATTACAATAGTCCCCTCTCTTTTGGGCATAATGTTAAGTGGAAAAAAAATAGTCCTCCTTCATCTACAGTTTTTGTTACCCACAGTTCACAGTCCAAAATTTCCCAGTGGAATAGTCCAGGAATAAACAAGTTATTAAGTGTTAAGTTGCATGCCATTCTGAGTAGCATGATGAAATCTCATACTATCTTTTTCTGGCCTGCCAGGGACATGAATCATCCCTTTGTCCAGCGTCTCCAAACTATAGACAGTACTGCCACGTGGTCACTTAGTAGCGCTCTGTTATCAGATTCAAAAAACACAGTGTATATAAGGTTTGGCATATCTGCAAGTTCAAGCATCCACTGCGTTCCTTAGAACGTATCCCCAAGGAGAGGCAGAGGTTTCGATGAGATTGCGCCACTGCACTCCAGCCTGGGTAATAGAACTAGACTCTGTCTCCAAAAAAAAAAAAAAAAAAAAAAAGAATGTATCCCCAAGGATAAGGAGGACTATGTACAATGCAATGTTTAAGAGATCAAATTCTGCCAGTCTGGACAGCATGGCAAGATGTTATCTCTAGAAAAAATAAAAAACATTAGTAGGTGACAGAGTGAGACCCCATCTTTGAAAAATAAAGTGCTGGATGCAGTGACTCATGCCTGTAATCCCGGCACTTTGGGAGGCTGAGGCAGGCAGAACATGAGGTCCGGAGTTCAAGACCAGCCTGGCTAACATGGTGCAACCCCATCTCTACTAAAAAAAAAAAAAAAATTAGCTGGGTGTGGCGCATGCCAGATTGCTGGGATTACAGGCATAAGCCATCATGCCTGACCTGGAAAACTATTTAAATAATCATAAAACATTACTCTTTAGCTAAGAATAATAAATTCAGCATTAAAT